TAATCTTCTAGCAAATACGATCAATAATTTCTTTAGAACAATGGGATGGAATAAAAAGTAATATAGACTTAGTTTGTTGCTAGTAGTAGGTTATTAAGCGATGAGGACATTCCAATAATGATGATATTGGGACTTGTACTTTCTTTCCAATGGAAACTTGCTACGTAATTAATAATCCAATTAACGATTTAATCAACAGTTGCATGGTGTGAAATGAAATCTCAGAGGGACGACGCAGGAAATAGCTTAAAGTGAAACGAATAGCTGCAATGAGGCGGCGAGAGTTAGCGAAGGCCGGGAGGCCATAACTCGGCGTGTATCCGCCGCGAGCCGCGAGCCGGCCGCCATGTCGACGCTGACCACGGACTCGCCCGCCGGTGGGGACCAGCCACGCCGTCGCTCTGTCTTTTATGTGCCATTGTTCGAAAGCTTTGAGAATTATTTACCTCTAACACCAGAAGAAAAAGAGGCTCTCATCTCTGGACAAGATATCGACAATGTTTCAACTAAACCCAACAGACATAACGTGTCTGAACGTCGACTACACATTCCAACGCGTGGCGATTCGTCATTTACAGAAAGTGAGAGTGATATCAGCATTTTCAGTCCTGAGAGGAGATTGCGTCGACCGTTGTCATCGACAGTGAGCTCCAATGAGGCACTGACGAGAGTCGGCCCACGAGATCTTATGAGTCCACGTCTCGTAGCCGAAAATAACATTAGACCTACAAAACCGCGGTTAAGATGTACGACATCGTGTGAACCGCGATATGATAGAATATTTTCTCCTATAGGGGGATCGATCTCAACTAACAAACTTAATAGTTCCACTTCTAATATCGGAACTAGAATAGCGTGTAAGACTTCAATACAAAACTCAAATCTATCTTTAATACCGGATTCACCTAAACTTTTATCACCTAACAAAGAAAAATCTAAAACATTGCCACAAAATCTCAACGTGCCATCGCCTATTAGAGGTAGCAGTAGTTCTACGTCTATCTTTAGAGCACCTAGAATAACTGTTACTCCAGATAGTCCGAACAAAAGTGTCGGGAAAATCTCTGGATTAAATTTCATTCGCCGTTCCCGAAGTACCAAATTGTCAAGAAGTAATTCCCTGTTAAGGAGTATAACGGCGAGACATATAGAAGAAGGTTTAGAAGATCAAGTGGCAGTAGTTACAGACTTAACTGATAATTACGACAAATTCGTTGATGAAAACGGCGGTGAGACTGAGGTGATCGGAGCTCTGATCAAAAAGCATGAAGCGCAGGTGGCAAATAGTCCGCTGAGTATCCGGCGAGGATATTTGGATGCAGACGATGACGTCGCTGTTCACTCCGGTAAGATTAAACTTTGTGTTGAAATCCTGAATTCATATATTTTAACGTTTTTTATTATGATAGTTGATTACAAGTATATTTTGCTTAGTAATCGTAAGTACCCAGAGGTAAGACAATATCAATGGCTGTCAAGTAAACTTTACAACCACCCATTTGATCCTGTTTCATTGTTGTTTTGCAAACATTATGCATTATCCAGTACTTTGCTCTTTAACAGGGACCCTTGTAAAGCGCTCTTCCTAATACCAAACTGGCTAATGTTAGTGAGTTGGCATTTTAAGGCCACATTATACTCACCTATTCATATCGTTAAACAATGCTCGCTAATTACACCGCTGGAAGCAGACGTTACTCTAGGTTCCATACAAACAGAATATCATGCTATCAAGTGTTATTTTGTTCGGCGGTGATTACTACTAAAAATGGATATCATCTTACGTTGAATGTTCAGTTTTTCCTTAAGTGTTGTTTTTTTTAACAATGCATGGACAAATACCGTGATTTTTAAGAAATTATTTGAAGCGACTTGTATGATAATAAATAATTTCATAAAATAAGAAATATAACAATTTTATTAGATACTAGAATTTGCAACCAGCCTGATTGAAGAAATGAAAGTTTTATATTACACTAATAGGCATTTGATATCATTCAGGCTTTTGCTCTGATAAAAGAAACATTAAACGCACCGTTATAGCATTACGTATTCCGGTTGCGTAAAAACTTCTGAGGATTCGAAAGCTTTACTCTATAAATGGTTACAAAGTATTGGTGTCTGCAAACATATTTTGTATATTATGATTTTATGTAGGTACTTATTAAGTTTGTTGCGCTGGGAGTGTAAGTAAAACAACACAGTTTTTAGTTGCTCTCTATTCGCGGGAATAGTAAAAATGCTTTAGTAGTACTTTAGGTAACTTTGATATGAAACAGGATTGAAAACCATCACATATATTTTATTCAAGATTAGATCGAAAAATATTAAGCTGTCTGTGGCAGTAATAATGATTAAGTTGTTGTAAATTATTGTATCTTTTATTTCTATCGAGAGAGGTAGGTCACAGCGGATTTGACCAGCCGCTAGTATTCAAGCACCTGTCGGCTGTAATTATACCTTACTAAAAACCGTAGGCTAGCCCCCCTAGCATGAGCACCGCGTTATGATATATAACGCATTTTTATCACGCTCAACTGTCAAATTACTATGGAGTTTGACAGTTAGACGCGATAAAAAAGGTGCTCATACTACGGGAGCAGGATCAAGTAAGATAACATGTTAGAAAAGACCTCCGAGGACGCTCGAGTGATATTCTCGCAGGCTGTGATGAACGCATTACCTATAAATAAATAAATATTTCCCACACCAATTTGCCTACCCCAAAGTAAGCACTATAAGGCTTGTGTTTTGGGATGCTAGGGCAATGGATACAATACATATACTGAAGAGTAAATGTTTTTACATAGAAATATATAAAAATCTATGACTAAGGTACTGAAATGCTGATAATCATCATACTAACATTTGCCCCCACTAGGACTCGAACCCTGAATAGGCGACTCCTTTAAACCAGGCGTATATACCACTCTTTTACGGAGGCCGTCAAACTATAACATTAAACCATCCTTTTAAAAAAAAACTTTTAAATGATATGTGATCATTTTTGTTCTTATTTTTATTATTTTGATCAAACAAAAATTTTCTATTATTTTATAACGAATGTCGTAACATTTTAATAAATGCACCACCTCAAAAATAACTTTTTATATATGGCTTTAATTTTTTTTTGTTAAAAACTTCTTGGGCCTTATTAGAAACATAATCAAGTACTTGCATTATCGGACCTGCGTAGTTTATGGTATTTCCTCGTAGCATATTATCGTCATGTTATCGACTAACACGATTTCAGTCGTTTTTAAACTGAGTAGAAACAAAGTACTTAACTTAACCACCAGCTGCTTTTACGAAATCCTAGTTATTAGAGCTCTTATTGCAACAGTGGTGAGTCTTGTGAGTCAGTTAACTTTCAAGTTTACTAGGTTATCTTTAAGTATTAACAAGTGCTAGCCTTGTCTAACAAAACCCGTAATATCTATTTTTATATCTTGTTTATTTTGAATAACTTTAATAGTATAATTGTATTTGAAATTATGTACGATATTGCAAAAGTTATTATGCAATTGGTGTCATCCATTAAACAAACAGTAAACATAATAATTAAAATAAAGACATCCACAGCCTCAGAATACTTACTTAAAAAAGTTTCGTTCAACTCAACGACCGAGTTGAATGGTACCTACATAACTTTTACCGATAACGACTTGTAATAACGGTATTGCTTTTAAAAAGAACATCTGTTACGTTCTGTTACGTTCACACGTTGTTGCAGTGCTGACTTGTGGATGCATTGTTATCGCCACAGAGAATGGAAAAAAATGAGCGGCAACTGTTCTCTCACTAAGAATAAAAAATGTGTACACCATGGCTAAAAGCTGAAACTTAACGTTTATTTGAGATTAAATATACTTAAGAGACATAAAATGGATCGGTAAAATGTAATTATAATATGTAAGTTAAGTATAAGTACCACCGTTATTTAAATTAAATTTAACATCAGCTTCAAAAAGGAATATATGAATATCTGTTATAATCGATTGTTATAAACTTAACCGGTTTATTGAAATTGGGGTGACCTGATTTATTGCTACCAATAGTATTATAATTTTCAAAAAGAAGTTGTTACTTTTTTTCAAAATACTTTAAAAAAAACATCACTATTTTGTTTTTTCCCTTAACTTCATTTACATTTCTCAAATTAGTAAATAAATTTGACTGAAAACGCATTAATTTGCAAGGACCAATCATAATAATTATCACTCTGAAAGATCCTGTCTTTCGTAGTTTTCCTGAAACAAAACAACTAACTTTTTTTATTACTGTATATACATAAAAATGTAGTAGGTACTTATTGTTTGTTTACTGTGTATCAGCCCAAGTCCCGACAAGCAAAAGTGTCTTGTGTGCCAAAGTGGCGACATAGTCTAGCGCACGCGCAGCGGTCACGGGCGGCGTGCTCGCAACTTCCGCCGGAAACCACGCCATACATACGGGTGGCTTACATACATTCAAAACCTTTACGCATATAACTAGCCGATGTGTTGACAATGCATGCAATACTATACGAGTAATGGACGCTATTGAGGCGTTCATTTCTCGCAAGGTTACTTCTAAATCGGGCCAATTGACAACCGCAATATTTAATAATTGTTGAACAAATCATGAATATTGGTAACAAACGGAGCTTCAATATTTTGCAAATATTTAAGGTTAATTATTTATGTTACCATATGGCAACGTTCTTTTCGAAATTCAGACGTTGCTTAAGACTTTTTTGGGTTTTGGATCTAACGATACCATAGTATAAACAAAACCGCCGTATTCCAAAACGCAGACTAAGTCATGGTTTAAACCTTATGCTATCTCTGTGTGCTATTTAGTTAACAAAAGTGACAGCATCAGTTTTAAACCAGGTTTATCCAAGGTTTCATAATAAGGCGGCAAAGACAATCTTTGCTTACTTACTTACATATCAGTAATATGTGTATTTCAATATCGATATATTAATAATCATTAATAAATTGTGTCCTTGTTTACAGATACGTCATACGAAAAGGCATGTCGGCGGGGCTCCGCGCCCAGTACGCCGGTGCCGGGTGCGCAGGCGCAGCATAGTCCATCAAGACTGGCTTCCTTCTTCTTCTCCAAGCGCTCCTTTAGGAGCAACCCTCTCAAAAGGACAAAATCCGCCACGAAGCTGGAAAGAGAGCGAGCGTTGGCTGCTGTGCCTACACATCCGCAGCCACACGCCCTTAGGACATCAAGGTGAATAATATAAGGCTATTGCAATACTTTTTCAATGATAACATTCTTCATTGAAACAATAGAACATTTCGAGAACCACAAATCATTATCTTAACTTGATCAGTAGGGTTCCGCCGTAGAAATGAAACTGTTTACTTAATAATGCTATGCCTTCGAAGTACTATGTCATATATTTGTTCTCGCATGCCGGTAGGACAGGAAGCAAAATCTGTTATCTGAAAACCATCTAGATGTGCTATTGTTTTTTCATAAGGTAACTACTAAAATCAGTAAAAAAAATGTAAGCACTTGTAACATGATTGAAATATACCTACACAGGTTTTAAAGATAACATGTTATGAGTAGTATGACGAACGACAATGATAACTACTTAAATTGATATTATTGTCATTTGAGTAGACCGCTCTCGAATCGGCCTTTTTAATCGCCAAAACACAATGCAGATATGCACCATAAATGGTCTTCTGTAGATGCAAAGGCCAAATATATATCGCGTATTGAAAAGATTCTTTAACTTTATTAATAAGATTGCCTTAGGGAACGAGTGATAAGTTTATGTTTCAATAAGGAACTTAATCGAATGGAATTCGTTATACCTATTTATAGAGTTCGTTCGTAATATTTCACGTTTACTTAATGCTTTCGGTTCAAGTTATGATTAAGCGGCATTCTCTTGGTAATTATTATTTATTAGATGAGATAGAAAAACATCGATTCTTGTTATTCATTCCCTTTACACTTTACACTATTTATAAAACCGTCAAGTCGAGACTAATATGCTGTTAAAGCTAAAGGCGGTGCTCGGAAAGTAGGTTGTGCGGCGTAATACTCTCGTAAATTATTGCTTATTATTATCTAGGTGGAATTATCTATTTTAAAGTTATTTTTTTCTAAATTAAGATTAGTAATTCTGGTTATAATAAGTAGTAAAAGTAACCAGCTAGTATGATTTTTTATATTTAGAAGTTCGTTTTACGTTTTTCACTTACATTCTACATCCATATATTGTGCTAATATTTGTCGCAATTTACGACTTTAAGCAAAAACATGAGCATGGGAATAATATCACCTGTGGAGGTGCAATATGCCGTGACTTTGTGGCATTAGTATTGTACTTGTCGTAATAATGTCAGGAGCGTCGCCCCACCCCGTCTGCCCGACACTAATAATTTGCCTGAATTAATTCCCTGGTAGTACAACTTTATTGAGATCTAGTAATTAACTCAGAATTTATTTGATGAAGAATCTATGAAGGTCGCGACGCCCAAGGACTTCTTGTTCTAATTAATGTAAATATATGACCAAGAATTGTGTTTAAGAAAACATTACTTTTACTTCTATAAAGGCCTTTATCAAACAATCCTATATAAAACCTTTAAATTGTTCCAGATCTCATGAAAGTTTGCTATCAGCACATTCGCCTGCCGTATCAACAATGGATTTAGGACCACCAAATCAAGTATGTATTTTATTTTATATTTTAACACTTATTTAACACAGGATAACTCCTTGTGTCACGAGCAACTTAGAAAAATGGCGCTACTGCCCGGATAACGGAAGGTGCGGGTTCGAATCCTGTTCGAAACCTGGACCAAGTGGATTTTATCTACTAAAAATTTCTTTACATTTATAAATTTAGCAGTTTAATGCTTAAACAACACTAAACAATTTTATTTGTACCATTTTCAGGTGGAGATTCGGGCTCTTCACTCGTCAGTGCTGGGCAGGCCGCACTGCTTCGCGCTGAGTGCGGAGAATCGGGCGCCGCGATACTTCGCCTGCGCTTCGAGGAAGGAGCGAGACCGTTGGATATATAGGTAGGTAGGGCATAGCCCATTTTCCGCTCAAAGTGAAACGCCCGTTTTGGGGAAGTAACCTCCACCTTGCAAAAGACCACAGTAAAATAACACTACGTTTTGGTGCTGTTCTGTTTCTGTCGGGGAATAAGGTTCCGGGGCTTCACGGGTGATAAGGTCAGGGTAGTCAACGCCTCCAGTGATATGTTTTATATCGCAAGCGTGTCTAAGCTATGGTGGCCGCTTACGATCAGGCGGGCGGGCAATATGCTTGTTGGACACCGTTTCAATATAAAAAAGGAAGTTCATGAATTCTTACAATCTGTATGGAAATTTAGTAACACCGTTTGGGTCTTTAATTGGCTTGACTTTGATTTGTACGGCCCACGCCTTCGCATTACGAAATCCTATGTCAATGTGCCTTTCAGGTTCATTAAGGTATCAGTACATTCCAATCCCCCTTCGCGAGTCTTTGTGAGTAAATTCAAGCGTTACAAGTTTGCACTAGGTCCGCGTGGGTTATGACCACACCTTGATGTAGATTCGGGCTTTAATAAGAAAGATTCGCTAGGTCTTTCTTGTTATGCACTGAATTAAACGTGAAGATGTGGTCATTCCCCACACGGGATCTTCGATGCTCTATGTCTTTCTTATTAATGTGCTTTTTTTATTATTTTGACAAACATTAAATTTATAATGGAATTTGTTTTGCATTGTTTCTCTAGCTTGCGGCAAGCAGCGCGGCCAGACGAAATACGTACGCGCCGGTGTGAGCGATCCGTGAAACTTTGGCTGCTGGAAGCAAAATCTATACCACCTAAGAAGAGATACTACTGTGAAATACTACTCGATGACACACTCTATGCGAGGTGATTATACTTTTTCTTCTTTGGTATAGTAAAGCAAATAGTATTCCGCCTTATTACAAATCGTTTAAAGTTAAACCCCATCTAAAACTGACCCTGTCACTTTTGTTTTCTAAAATGAAGACAGAGACAACATTAGGTTTAAACCAAGACTACCTTTGGTCCGCGTTTTTGAATAAGGCTGATTGAGGACTGCGAGCGAAAGGAAAACTAAAATTACACCAGTTTCCAACTTTTCAATGCAGGAAAACTGTTGTATCCGATAGGCTGACATGCTATCCTATAGTTTCCGCACACCTAGATACAGATCTGATTAATACAGAACATCGTTGTAGTTTACATATCTTTGAAAGTAATGTTTCTTAAAATTTTAGTTTTAAACAGCATTTTTGATTCTCTTCCAACCCATTGCTTGATACACAAATCAAAGTATAACGTACTTAAGTGTACTCACATTAAGTATATTTTATTATATTTATTTTGTAACACAGTAGTGCAAAAATTAAGAGCTGCCTTTATATGTGACTTGCAGATCATCGTCCAAGTTGAAGACGGAACTATGTTTCTGGGGCGAGGTGTACGAATTCAGCGGTCTGCCGGCGACGCGCGCTATAAACGTCAACGTGTACAGGGAGCCGGAGCGGCGCGCACGCAAGCGCGACAAGCACGCCCTCGTCGGTCAGTACACAGCTATCCCTATGTCATCAGCATCATTACCTATGGATGGAATACGGAGAGCATGCCATGATTCCATGACATCTGCCGGCGACGCGCGCTGTAAACGTCAACATGTACAGGGAGCCGGAGCGGCGCGCACGCAAGCGTGACAAGCACGCCCTCGTCGGTCAGTACACAGCTATCCCTATGTCATCAGCATCATTACCTATGGATGGAGTACATAGAGCATGCCATGATTCCATGACATCTGCCGGCGACGCGCGCTATAAACGTCAACGTGTACAGGGAGCCGGAGCGGCGCGCACGCAAGCGCGACAAGCACGACCTCGTCGGTCAGTACACAGCTATTCCTGTCATCAGCATCCATTACCTATGGATGGAATACGGAGAACATGCCATGATTCCATGACATCTGCCGGCGACGCGAGCTATAGACGTCAACGTGTACAGGGAGCCGGAGTGGCACGCACGCAAACGCGTGGCTTACGAGTGCTTACGGCATTCTATCTGCTAAAAAACCCTGCGAATACCCTCTGCGCTGTTAAGTGCGGAACCGCGAGATCCCCGTTGAGGGACTTCACCGCGTCTCCGCATCCAACAGCCTCCCGGCCTAGCCAGGGCTCCACGGCAGTACACAGCTAGCCCTATGTCATCAGCATCATTGCCTATGGATGGAATACGGAGAACATGACATGATTCCATGACATTTATGAATACCGCTTGCTCATTGATATCTGCTGCAGATGCAGCCAGTTCTTCTTCTTCTTTCTTTGAGCTCCAAGAGAGTTTTTGGTCACCCATTCAATTATGTTATGACTGCTAGTTGCGAAAGTTGTTTAACTTCCATAATAGCAGACCGAGTGCCCCAACCTCTGTCCCATCGAGCCATATGTGCTATCCTGCTAATCAAGGATTAATTATTTCGTTCCATAAAATAAATCTTATAAGAAATCTCTAATAACAGGTTTCGTTTATCGTTCCGCAGGCACAGTGCGAATTCCGGTCGACGACGTATCGTCACGATACCTCAACGAGCGGTGGTACCCGCTGTCCGAGGGCGACAAGCCGCAGTCCCCGGGCGGTCGCGCGCCCCCTCCGCCCGCGCCTGCACTTCGGATCAAGTGCCGCTACCAGAGCGTGGATGTACTACCACTAGACAACTACGCGCGCTTCCTCGACTACCTCAAGAGGAACTACAGGCGGCTGTGCGAGTACCTCGAGCCCGTCATAGGTGAGTAACACGAGCACTCATTGATTTTACGAGGGGCTTGATGAACTATCAACGCTAGCGCGCCCCAGGCGCCCGCGCACGAGCTTATGATTAAATACCGCTACCAGAGCGTGAACGGTCTACCGCTAGAAAACTACGTACGATTGTTCGACTACCTCAAGAGGAACTTCAGGCGGCTGCGCGAGTACCTGGAGCCAGGCCTAGGTCAGTAACACAAGCACTAATTGATATAACGTGGGGCTTCATGAACTCTCAACGAGCGATGGTCTCCACTGTCCGAGGGTGACAAGCTTATCATCGCCCGTGCCCGCGCTATGGATCAAGGGCCGCTACCGGAGCGTGGGCGTTCTACCGCTGGACAACTACGCGCACTACCTTGACTACCTCAAGAGGAAATACGGCGGCTGTAAGCGGCTGTGCGAGTACCTGGAGCCCGTCACAGGCGTAGCATGAGGAGTCGTTGACATAGCGTGAGGCTTGATGGAACTCTCAACAAGCGGTCCGATATCTGCGGGCGACAAGCTGTAGTGCCAGCACAAAGCGTGGACGTGCTACTCTTAGATTTTCGCGCGCTTTATCGGCTACCTCAGGATGAAGTACAGGTGGCTATGCGAGTACAAATCCAGTACGCGCTCTGTCAACACATTCGAAGCAAATGGCGCACTTGCATGACACAGCATAGTGTATTGCAATCAATGGTCATCCATTATCTCGAGGTGCAAAGATTTTAATAAGGATCCTTAGAATGACCAAACAACATTAAGCTCTCTCTCTCTCTCTCCCTCTCAATATTCTAGTTTAATAATAACTGGCTCCTCTTAGGCTATAAGTAGGAAAAAAACTAAACGTGCTGCAATTTGTCATGCTATGTTTTGTTACTTAAATAAGCACAGCTTTACGCAGCATAGGACAATCTCAATTGGTCTCTCTTATTGCAAAGAACCCCAAACTTGTAATAGAAAACGGAGTATTTTTTTTTATTCAGAACTAAATGTTATTCGTTCTCTCTTTAATTGTAGGAGTAAAAGCGAAGGAAGACATTGGTTGTGCGCTAGTACTGTGCATGGCAGGGGCAGGCCTGGCGCCGCGCTACCTCGCCGACGTGGTGGCGCTGGACGTGCGCCGTACCGGCGACCACTCGCTCACCTTCCGCGGCAACTCGCTCGCCACCAAGAGCATGGAGGCGTACCTTAAGCTCGTCGGGGACCAGTATCTACAGGTAAACACCTTCCGCCTAGGGTTCAATCGCCTGACGGGATTGCTATCGCTATCGGTTACGATTTCATTTTGTTATTTCTGACCGCCTGATGTTTTCAAATGCCTCACGCATATTTTAATTAATATTTTTATTATTGCAAAAGAAAAAAAAGAGCGCAAGGCATTTGAAAACATTCGGCGGTCAGAAATTACAAAAGGAAGTTGTAAGCGATAGCGATAGCCCTAGCAATCCCGTTAGGTGATTGACCCCCCGGTTCTATGAACAGCGACCATGCTCGCTCAGGTTTATAAGCATTTTTTTTTTTTTTTTTTTTATATTACTAGGTGGGCAAATGACTCTACCCCACCTGATGTTAAGTGGTGATAAAGTCCAAACGCGAAGATAGCTGGTACAGCAGTTATTAACTGCTACACCAACCATCCTCACCTTGCCGGCCCGCAAAAATGCTTCTTCACGCCTCTCTTAAAGGACCCCAGATTATAGGAAGGAGGGAACACGTGCGCGGGTAAAGAATTCCACTTACGAATAGTACGACAAAGAAATGAGTCGCCAAATTTCTTTGTTCGTGTAGGAATAGTGGCCACAGTAAGTCGATGGCAACGTAGGCCAGCGCGCGTGGTCCTCTGAAGAAAAGGTGATGGAGGGATAAGCAAGAATAGCTCCTCAGAACACTCGCCGTGGTATATTCGGTAGAATGCGCTTAATGATGCCACATCACGGCGTAATTGTAGAGACTCGAGTTTCTTAGTTGCCTCTTCGTCGCCAATGATGCGGGCAGCGCGCCGCTGCAACCTATCCAAGGCATCGAGTAAGTACTTTGCGGAGCCATCCCAGAGGTGCGAGCAATATTCCACGCAGGACCGCACTTGTGTTTTGTACAACAAGCACAGTTGATCGGGCGTGAAAAAACGCCGCACCTTGTTCAGGACTCCGAGTTTGCGTGAAGCTGTTTTGATCAACGTTTCGATGTAGTCCTTTGGATTCAGGTCTGAGCGAACTTCCATACCGAGCATGGTAATATTGCTCTGTAGCGCCAGTGTTGTGCCCTGAAGAGAGGGAAGGGGAAGGAATGGCGATGTTTTTGCCGTGAAAGCGCAAGCCTGAGTTTTCTTGGCATTGAACTCAACCAAGTTCCTAGTACCCCATTCGGAAATGTGGTCTAAAGCCCGATTGAGCTCAACGACAAGATTCTCCCGTTTCTCCATGGTTTCTACCTGTCCAGCCGCCGCGTGTCCAAAGTATCTCGCATGCACTGTGCTATCGTCTGCATAGCAATGAATATTCGCAAGTGGAATCAAATCATTGATATGCAGCAGAAAGAGTGTGGGGGATAGAACGGAACCCTGAGGAACACCGGCATTCACTGACATGAACTGCGAACTACATCCGTCCGTAAGGACGCGAATTCTACGCTCATGCAGGAAGTCAGCTACCCAGGCGCAGAGCTGAGCAGGCAGACCGTATGCAGGAAGCTTGGAGAGAAGGCTCTTGTGCCAGACCCTGTCAAAAGCCTTGGCGATGTCAAGGCTAATAGCCAGAGACTCTCCCCGCTTGTCTATAGCTTCACCCCAGATGTGTGTCACGTACGCTAGAAGGTCACCCGTCGATCGATTCGGCCTAAATCCGTATTGACGATCGTGAATTAGAGAGTAATCTTCTAGGTAGCGGGTCAGATGGTTGTTAAGGACCCTTTCTAAGACTTTACACAACACTGAGGTGACAGCTATCGGCCGATAGTTGGCCGGGTCTGAGCGGTCCCCTTTTTTGGGCACCGGTTGCACATTGGCGTCTCTCCAAGCTTCCGGCACACGCCCCAAAGAGTAAGAGAGTTGGTACAGTCGCGTAAGCACGGGAGACAACTCCGCTGCACAATGTTTTAGAACAACTGCTGGGATGCCATCGGGTCCACTAGCTTTCCGGACGTCGAGTGATTGCAATTCCGCACGAACATCATGCTGCCTGATTTTAATGTCAGGCATCGTAGTGCCACAATGAGGTAGTGTAGGTGGCAGTGCATTGCAATCACTGATTCGGGAGTTAGCCGCAAAGAGCTTTGCCAACAAATCGGCTTTCTCTTGCGGCTCATGAGCTAGTGACCCATCTGGACATCGCAGAGGTGGCAGCGAGGGCTGGCAAAAGTTGTGTTGCACGGCCTTAGCCAAACGCCAAAAACTACGGGAGCCCGTAGGGTGCGTTAACAATTCGTGGCCAGTACGTGCTACACGTTGGGCATCCGCTCTGATGTAAGCCTTCTTACAAGACTTGGAAGCACTATTATAGGCAGCTTTCAATGAGTTAACCCTGGGATCCTTAAGAGCGCGGCCTCTGATCCAAGCGCGATATGCCGCCTGCTTACGAGAAACAGCATCGGCACAATCGCGATTGAACCAGCGGTTACGTGTGCCCTTACTGATGAGATCAGAATGTGGAATGTAATACTCCATTCCCATTACGATCTCCTCAGTAATGGCAACGGCACTGGATGATAGGTCCTTTTCATTGAAGCAGCGCTGCTTCCAAGGGACAGACGCAAAGTAATCGCGCATACCATCCCAATCTGCCGACCCATAGTGCCAGACCCTGCGTTTGACCACCAATGGTCGAGGGGTTTTGGCCTGTGGCACCTTGACAGATATCAGGCAATGGTCTGATGAACCCAGTGGGGCTCGAACCACAATCTGATACTCCTGCGGATGGGTCGTAAGCAGAAGGTCAGCATGAACTGCTCTGGCTATTTACCACGGGTTGTTCGAGATGGATCGCGAACTACATGGTGCGCAGTGCCGAATGTAGTCCACACTGTGCGGTAGAGGCAAAATTCAATCAACAATTTGGCTCCCACGGCTATTGGACTTATGTTCGGGACGAACAATGGAGCGCAATTTATATGGAACTGTAATTATTTAATTATTAATTATTTAAAAATTATTTAATTATTATTTATTGCTCACATACAAAAGGTCCATAGAATACATTTAACAATAATGTGGGCAAAGGCGGTCTTATCGCTAAAAGCGATCTCTTCCAGACAACCTTCGCGGTATAGGTAACCTAAACGGAAAAGATGATGTACTATGCCAGCAGAGTCGATGAGATATACAAATATGTAATCTATACATATAATAAAATGGTAGGAAAGTCAAAACTGTACATTGAATATTTTTTTTAAAAGAATATTTGGGGTGTGATCTACAATTGATAGCGAAGCCAAAAATATAGTTTTTATATTTTTGTCTGTATGTATGTCCGGGATAAACTCAAAAAGTTATGGATTTACTTCAAATTTGGCACGAATATTATTAAGAAGTCGGGTCAACATATTGGCTACATATTATCATGCTATCACCGAGGGAACGAGCAGTGAACCTTTATTTCTAACTAACTCCACGCGTAAGATGTCGCTGGCGGCCGCTAGTTAATATAATATTACCTTTACTGATTGTCTGGTGCGTTTGTTGCAGGACACGCTCGGATCTGCAGTGGCGGCGGCAGCGGGCGCGGGCGCGACGGACTGCGAGGTGGACCCGCAGCGCGCGGGCGGGGGCGCGGCGCTGCGTCGCCAGCAGGCCGCGTTACGTGACGCCGTGGCGCTCGCCTGGCGCGCCATCGCTGCCTCCGCGCCCGCCTTCCCGCCCCCGCTGAGGGACTGCTTCGCCACCTTCCGCGAGAGGTCAGTGAACCTCTATTTTTTTTAAGTAAAACTTCTTTTCTGACAGGGTATAAGTAAATGGAAAAATATTATTCTTATAGAACAGATGAAACGGAAATGCGTCACGAGCGTCACACGACGACGTAACTTGGCGAAGGCTGAAACGCTACGAGCGTCACGAGCGTCACACGCGAGAATAAATAAATAAAATAAATATTTCCAATTGGCCTAGCTCCAAAGTAAGCACTGTAAGGCTTATGTTATGGGATACTAGGGTAACGGATAGAATACATATACTGTGCATATGTAAGTATACATATTAAACATCCATGACTGGAGTACGTATGCTCGTATTCATCACACAAACATCTACCCCTACCGGGATTCGAACCCGGGACCTCTCAAGTCGGCGACACTATGAAACCTGGCATACAAACCACTCGGCCACGGAAGTCGTCAAAGTGTGTGCGCTGCTCCATTTAAGCACGTTCTAATATAAGGTTATTTAAAAAAAGAAGTTTCACTTTAGATTTGTGGTCAGTGCACACATTTTTTTTATAATAATAAATATCTATCACAACCTCACAAGCACCGTCTCTGAATCTATGCTACTGCTGCTTCTTCATCTTTCGTTAGTGAGCAACTCTTTTAAGTCTACTTCTTACATTGCTACTACTATGTACGTCATCGTGCCCCGCCCGCACTGTGACACTGGTTTACCACCTTTTGTGAGAGGTTCCCTTTAGCACCTCTTCATGTGGCATTCTGCCACACAGTTCTAACGCGCACATTCCCGTTCCCACATTCTCGGCAGGCACCTTGGGGGCCATGGTCCTCAGAATGCGTGTCGGCTGAGCGGTGCATGAGTATTGTCTGTTTTTTTAGCGGATAAGATTGGATGAAATGAGCCAAAAGGAGTCTTGGAGACTCTCGTCACGGGCAAAAAAAGGTTGCGTGGCACTCATATCGATTATCACCGTCCAGGGGGCCAATCGCCTAATGGAAATGCTTTAGGAAACGCTAACGCTTACGATTTTATATTGTTATTTCTAGCCGCCTGAGGTTTTCGAATACCTCACGCTCATTTTTTTTAATATTGTTATTACCAATGCAAAAGAAAAAGAAAGAGCGCGAGGCATTTGAATACCTCAGGCGGCTAGAAATAACAAAATAAAATCTTAAGCGTTAGCGTTTTCCAAAGCATTTCCGTTAGGCGATTGGCCCCCAGGCGCTGCATCCGCTCTTACGTTCCTGTCCCATCTTGTCTTGCTACTACACTGTTTCGCTAGCAATCTCCAAATGTTGCATTAAATTAAAGAAACACTACATACACTACCTCTTAATTACGAAGTGTTGTAATAGGTCAACTTACTCAGCGCACAAAATAAGAATAAACTATAAAAATTAAATAAAATTGGCTATATTCACCAACGCGCTTTGATTTTTTTAACAGGTTGACTTCAATGGGTAGAGAGGATATCTCCGACAACTTAATCAGTGCATCAATATTCCTCCGATTCTTGTGTCCTGCTATCCTGTCACCGAGTCTTTTTGGAATAACTCATGGCAAGTATTATTTTTTGGGAAATCCCAAGAAGTCTATTGTTTTTATTAGTTCACACATTTCTAATTAAAACTTGTTTGTATACAGAATACCCGAATGAACGCGCTGCCCGTAACCTCACGCTGGTTGCAAAAACGCTGCAGACTCTAGCTAATTTCACTCGCTTCCAAGGCAAAGAGGCATTCATGGAGTTCTTAAACGACTTCCTCGAACAAGAGGCGCCCAATATGAAAGCATTTCTAAGAGCAATATCGGTAAGAAAATTGACTTGGCTTTTACATCATTAGATTTTTTGGCAATCGGAAATAACTTCGACATATATGGTCATGTCAATGTCTAATAATAAAACAAATAGTTTCCTTTTTCTACAAAAGAGGTTGGCAATGCATCATCAAATCTTATCAGGATACAAATATTATTCATATTTTACCACTGCAGATGCAGCTGTGACCATCTCTTTAACGTGTCTTTCGAAGAACGAAGGAAGACGAGATAATAACATTTTTGGTCAACTATTCTATGGCCGGCCATTGCGAAAGTTGCTACGCTATCGAACACCTAATTTAAGTTCATTTGAATAAAAAGCTACTATCATTATTGATTGATTATTTTCAAAATAAAGAAAAAAAAATGTATTATTATAACATGCCATTCCGCAGAAAAGCATATCGGAGTTCCCTTTTGTTTGATATTGCAGACGCGACCACAAGATCAGCCACAAGCCCAGCATCAATACCAACAACAACAGCAACATCAACAAGAGGGCAGTAACCGTAACTCGGCCGCGTCTCAGGGTTCCGTCGCCGGTTCAGAGAGTTCTAGAAGCGAGGCAGCCGTAGAAGCTGACCCTGAATGGGCACCACACGTGGACCTCGGAAAACAGTTAGCTACGTTACACGCTCTGCTGGTAGATAGTTTACCAAAGTTGCCTGCTGGTAGGATACAGGTAAGAGTTCCAACACATTCAAACGGCTTTATGAAATCTCCATGACTATTAGAAGGTAGCATAATAGTCCTTAGAAAACAGTTGGCTACGTTACACGCTCTGCTGGTAGATAGTTTACCACAGTTGTCTGTTGGTAGGATACAGGAAAAAGTGCCAATACACGCAAACGGCTTTATGAATTCTCCATGACTAAAAGAGGGTAGCATAATAGTCCTTAGAAAACAGTTGGCTACGGTCCACACTCAGCTCGTAGATAGGAAATCTCCATCACTATTAAAAGGTAGCATAATAGTCCTTAGAAAACAGTTGGCTACGTTACACGCTCTGCTGGTAGATAGTTTACCACAGTTGTCTGTTGGTAGGATACAGGAAAAAGTGCCAATACACGCAAATGGCTTTATGAATTCTCCATGACTAAAAGAGGGTAGCATAATAGTCCTTAGAAAACAGTTGGCTACGGTCCACACTCAGCTCGTAGATAGGAAATCTCCATCACTATTAAAAGGTAGCATAATAGTCCTTAGTAAACAGTTTACGCTCCACACTCTGCTCGTAGATAGTTTGCCCAAATCGCCTGGCGCTAGGATACAGGGTGCCATCACAATTATCTAGAATCGAGGCGGCATTAGAAGCTGACTTTAAATGGGCACCGCATGTGGACCTCGAAAAACAGTTAGCCAAGTTATACACTCTGCTAGTAGATAGCTTGCCAAAGTTACCCACTGGTAGGATACAGGTAAGAGTGCCAACACACTCAAACGGATTTATGAAATCTCCATGATTATTTAGACGCTCACGCTTTAGTAGATAGTTTGTCGAAGTTGCTTGCTACTAAGATACAGGTAAGGATGTCATCACAATATCTAGAATCGTGGCGGTCGTAGAAGCCGACCCTGAATGGGCACCGCATGTGGTCCTCGGAAAAAAGTTAGCCACATTCATACTCTGCTAGTAGATAGCTTTTGTAAGCTACCCGCCGCTAGGATATAGGTAGGATTACAGTCATTACACTCAATCATTGTGAAATCTACTTTTTTATATAAAGTGGCTGAAGAAGCTGCCTATTACTAGGCAGCACACAGTCCACAGAAAACAATAGGGAATATGCATGGGAAAAGAAAAAGTATCATTCCTTTATTGTTTCAGTCCATTCTAATACTCATTTATTCTTTGGTTTCAGGAGTTGGATCCCTTATCTGATATCTTGGAAGAATTAAATAAAAGATTGGTCAGCAACGATTATGGACCAATGCCGCAGCAGTCTGACAATATCTTTAGGTTCGTTTGGGAGAATATAATATTAGATTTTTCTATTGCATTTAATCAATTTTTAATGAAGTAAATATCCTTTATTTAAATTTTAGGTTCAACGATCCAACATGTAATACGCCTTCGAAGCCAAATCCTGAAGCTCCTGCGAATGGGATGAGCAGTAACTTTGCCCACAGTTCACCTATAATGAACAAAAATGGCGTACAGTTTAATATCAGCCCGTCAAAGTCTAACGCTGAGGAATCTAAATACAAAGCGTCTTACGTTGGTGTGGCGAAATCGCCAAGCTTTAATTTAAGGTCAGCGACGCTCCCACGAAATGGTTATGGGTTGAACCCAACGAACCAAAATGTGAACCCCGACAGGTATAGTTCACAATATAACAATCAAGAACACTGCGTCAATCTTAAAGTAGTACAAATAGGATTTAGTTCCGATCAGTACCAAAAAGGAATCGGCAACGGCGTCAATGAAAGCTTAGAACGACGATTTCTAGATAGGTACAAAACCAACAGTTATAATCAACAAAATCATTATCATAATAACTCCAATTACAACACCGAAAGGTCACCCAGTAGCGACAGCGTTAACCATAATTATTGCTCAAATGACATGCAAAACATTATGAAGGAAACTGCAACATTAGAGGAGTTGTCGGATTTATTGAAATATGCTGACGATTCGGACATAGTCGAGGACAAACTTATAATGAACAAAAAGAACTTGGCCCAATCTAAATCTACTAATAACAACATTATCAATGGAAATAAAATCAATTACACAAACAACGGTTCAAATGTCTCAATCAGTGGTTTATCAAACGTCGCGAGTTCTGGGTACCAAAGTATTGCTACTTACAGCCAAAGTTCTAGTCCCGTTGAAAACACAACTCATCATCATCAGCCATACGAAAACGGTGGTCAGCCAATGAGCCGTTACTCTCAGCTAAACTACCAAAAACAGAGAGATAAACAGTATTATGATAATAAAAATGAAAAGTTCTATCCAAAGAGCCCAGTGCAACAGAAAATTGATTACGATATTCAGAAATATGGAATCCAAAACTTCACAACGGCGGAAAACACACAGACGACCGCAAATATGAATTCAAAAGTAGTTCCATTAGTATTCACAAATCCAGTGTACAATATGGAAGACAATCGGCCGTCTCAAGATAAGAAAAAGAATAATAATGACAATAGAAATTCGAAGCGCTGTCCATGTGGCTCATCCAGTTCATCCATAGATGAGGAGGGCTTGAGCACAGACAACGTTGAGACGAATTCTGAAGAAGGTTCCACTAACTTCAACGACGACACAAGAAATTATGATCATCAACACCGTAATAATACCCACCGAAAACTTACCAGAGATAATTGTAATTATGAAGATGTATATCAAACGAGTAACCATAGTCATTCCCCAAGAATACGGGATGATGAATCTTCTAGTAATTCGCCAAGTCTGAGGAAAAGTAGCAAGACGCGAATGCCTAGAACAAATCCTATGCTCTCTTATTCTACAAACCAAAATCAGCTCAATCTGAAGCATTTCGGCCAAAGAGGAGAATCGCTTTACGAAAGCAAACCTCATCATATTTCCACTGATTCTGGTTATGCCATGGGAAGGTCCGATTCTAACGTTGAGAAAGTAAATCAAGAAATGTATAGACTCCAGATCTCCCGAAGTCAAAAGGCTTTATTTCATATGGAAAACGCCAAGAGTTCTCCGGAGAAGTATAGCATGACGGAAAATTCGATTCCAGAGACGAATTATCCGCTAGATAGAACATATTCTGGGGCGAAGGTGTCTAGTAGTAGATTAAATGAAGATTTAGAGAGGCACCAGGATTATTATGATGTTCGAGAAAGGCGAGAGTCTCCTCAAGCCACATTTAATAGGGAATCCCAGTCTAGTGAAGCGAGCGAAAGGCCCGCGGTTCGAACGGAACGTGAGAGCACCGTAAGAGATAAGCTTCAAAGGCGATTAAGCTTAGAGTCTGCAAGGGAACTCACGGATAGTTCTGATGAGGTGGAAGATACATTGTACAGTACAACAGGTAGAAGGCGAGCTTCCAAGCATCACAGAACTATCGAGCAGGTGAGTCATATCACTTTCGTTTGTATAAATTCATAGTTTCATGTCATATCCCTTATGGCAACATGATAACAAAGCATTTCATACGTTTTTTTTATTAAAACATTTCTCGTCAAAAATTATTCCTCAGCAATGGTTGGTTCTAAATTCCTATCAGAAAGGAGCGACAAAAGTCAACCTATAGTAATTCCAGAACCTGTTTTGCTGCTTATATTTTTTTACTATTTCTAATACAAAGTTAACATCTAGCAGTTAAATGCTTAAAAATAAATAAAATCATAACAAAGTTAGCAGTCGGCATACATACATGTTGCGAGTTAAAATGATAATAAATCTTCTTGTTTTGTATTTATTGTTTCTTTTTTTTATACAGTACGAACGAGAAATAGAGAGGCTAAAGTGTTCAGTAGAATTATTACGTGGCCGGCTACCATCTGAACCTGGTCAGGATCACACCGACGCGAAAATGTCGGCTATCATTTCAAGGTTGGTATTTGATAGTAAGTTGTTTGATTAGTTTTTAGTTATTTGTTTGCAAAACAATAGTAAATGAACACATATTAGAGGTTAGGTTAGGTATAGGTACGAGTAAAGATTGATGGGCTAACAACTGCAGATGCTGCCGGGGCCAACAACTTGATGTACCTTGCGAAGAAAGGTAGGGCATAAAGGATTATGCGCTCCAATTGGAGCGCCTGTCTAGGGAAGTAACCTCTGCCTTACAGAAAATCACAGTAAAATAACACTATCTTTTGATGGTGATGTATGTCTGTCGGTGAGTAAGGTTCCAGGGCTCCACGGGGTAGGGGATTGGGTCAGGGTAAGCAACGATGCTAGTAATATTTTTGGTGTCGCAAGCGTCTATAGGCTTATGCTGGCCACTTACCATCAGGCGGGCATACGCTTGTTTACTACCCTTTTCACATAAAAAAGACGGAGTACCTCGCTTGTTCGTTGGCACTTAAGCTAATGGTCAAAATTTGCTAACGCTTTTATCACTACTCCATTGATCTCCTCATTAACGTAAATCCCATTCCCTTTACCTTTAGATTGATCTGCGTGGAGGATGAGTTACGTCGCGAGCAGCGTAAGATGGCCGCCGCATTATCGCATAAACAGCGCGTGATCGAAGCGCAGGAGCATCGCATCGCAGCCCTGGACGAGGCCAATACTCGCCTTCTGTCCGCACTCGTTCACTTACAGCAAAGGGCTCCAGCACCTGCCACCACTCCCACAGCTCATTCGCAACATTCGCACCAAGAACTGCAAATATAACATTGTAAGAAAGATCTCGAATGAGATTAATATAATCCGTGCACAAACAGAAGTCCCGAGAGAGTTTTGATAGTTTTCGAAAACAGCCATCTCCTAGATTCGTCTCCATAATAAAGATTACACTCGCCTTTTGTCCGCGCTTGTTCAGTTACAGCAAAGGGCTCCGGCGTCCATCACTACTCCTGCGACTCACTCGCACATTCGAAACAAGAGCTGCAGATACAGCATTGTAAGAGAAATCTTGAATGAGATTAATATAATCCGTGCACAAACAGAAGTACCGACAGAGTTTTGGTAGTTTTCGAAAAACGGCTATCTCCTTGATTCGTTTCATAATAAAGATTTCAGAGGAATTACTGTGTTATCTATGATGAATATGCAACGATCAAGAAAAAGTACTCTGGGAACTTGTATTTGTTTGATAATAGGGAGCCTTTACACATTTGCTTCCAAAAATGTAAAACAAGCCCAAATTCTATTTGAGATGTTCCAGCTGAGCTGAAATGGGACATTTGACTTCAGAAATCTGCTTCGGGAATAATGAAAAGCGGGCATAAATGAAAGTTTATAGGTTATTGTGACCATTCTATAGGAACACAGACTACAAATTTTATACATATTAAATAGAGAGAATAGAGGCATTACTTACACAAATAGATGTGGCCTTATCGCTTGAGATTTCTTATAGACTTCAAATTTAAATACATATTGACGGAGTAAGATAATATCTTTTAGCTCAGTCGCTTCAATGGGATATTGTATATTATCAATTATCATAGTAAACATTATCTCACTAAAACTTCACACATTTTGTTCAGTATCAATAAACTGTATATGCTCTAAATTACTACAAGCCCTCGTATATTTAATAAATGTAATGTTTTTTCTTATTAGTGTTTTAACTGTTGTAATTTGGATTTTAAGTAAAATGCTTTTGTAAATTTCAACGTTAAGTCAACAGCACAGTCATCAGTTTATTCAAAAATGTGAAATTTTGTTCTTGCGATTCGTACTAACCTACGCACATTTGCACCGACAGTGTGATATCTCAAAAACCCCACAGAAAACGATTTGAGATTTAGACGAAGTAATGAATTAAAATAGTTTTCTGTAAAACCAAGGTTTTTGAAATATCAAACTCTTGTCGCAAATGTACGGTGTGCTGTTGACAATATCAACATCTCTTTAAATTCTACATTTTCAAGTCTTAAGCACAAAACTTTTTACTCTGCTATTGTAAGTGGATACTTCGAGAAATTTTTACTTAAAATAAATTTATAATAATCTTAAATTTATTAATTTTCATATTTCATGCACAATAAACATTAATGAAATTTAAAATGTTTACATGACGACTTATTATATAATATACTTTACGCATTTTTAATGTTTATCTCTTAATGCAATATTACACTTTAACTAATATTTATTATGTATATCGATGTGCTCTAAAGTAACTATTGTATTTAAATCACATTTGTTCGTTTGCCATTTTTATTTTACTTTGTTTTATTGTTTCCGTAATTTTAAATGCTTTAAGTGACATTAACATTTTCTCTTTGTTAATCTGGTTTAGATGCTCGCAACGTGTTTTTTTCTGTAATGATACCAAAGACGATTGAATATCCATTATAGTGATGTTGTAGTGGAATACAAATGTACTACAACAACCACTAATTTGTATTAAAATAAAACGTTATAGATTTTTATAATAATTAATTAAATAAGACTTGTATAAATAATAATATTTTAAGGTCCTATTTGTAAGTGAAATGAAATACAGTCAGTATTAAATGTTTGGCGATGACCAAAGGCCAACAAAAATTTATCAATCTTACCCTCTCAAGTACCAAAATTTTTTGGAAGATTTTTTTTAAAGAACCATATATATTACAATGAATGATAAAAAGTACTATAAATCAGAACTAACAAGTTTACTATTAGATGGATTTCATAGCTTACAATAAAATTCTAAAATGATTCTTTAGACGTTTCTAAATATTTAACGCTGACTGTATTAAGTAAAACTTTATTTTTAATACCTGTGGAGTATTATACGGATTAACCGTAATAGTAACTTTATCGTATTCAAGTTGTTAACAACTAATCGATGATCATTTGTTGAACAAAACGAAAAAATATTCGACAATCACAAATCATATTTCGATACAAGCCGTATTTCAGTGGAGCTAATTTTAAGCCATAAATTTATGTAAATATACCCGATTAGGTATATTTTGTTATTCTTATCACATTAAATTATGGATTACGTATAAGCTCGTTTCATTTTCAATAAACCGAATGAGAGAAATAAAACATGTTCTTTAAAGAAGATCTATATTTTAAAAGACAAACACAATTTTTTATTCAATTCACTCTTGCGGTTCTATGCCAGCTGGAATGCAGCAGTAGCGTCTTTTGGCTATAGTCATTTTACGTTCAGTGGTCTCCATAGTGCTATAGGGATGCATGAGAAGTAAATCTTCAACACGAGCATACAGATATGAAAAGTATATCTCTCTGAATTTTTTATCCGGAAACTCGGCCTGAAACATTGTGGACCACATCAAGTTGTTAACTTTTGCCAACGACCTGAACAGTGCCAGTCTATATTGATACGTGAACTTTCTAAATTTCTCATTCAAATTTTGTTTGTGAACCCATGTCGTGTGTCCAGCGTAAGTGGGATCCTTAGGTGGGGACACATGGCCAAAACCTTGCATCGCCATAGTCAGGAGCATCTGCCAATACATATTACTCTTCCTTAACATTTCAACTTTTTGACTATGCTTAAAAGGACCATGGATTCGCCGTCGCATCCATTCTTTCAGTTCAGGCACAAGGTGTATATCTGGAAGACGTGCTGCTACGTTCACGCGTCTCATGAGTCGCAGAGCGCATTTTAAATAGTCTTCGGGTTTTGGATTCTGTCCCAAGCAAGTTGACGACGATCGCTTCTTCTTCTTTTTGTCTTTCTTGTCTTTTATAGTGCCATCATCAACACGTAACATGCTTTCAGTGTCCCAAATCTTTTTGAACTCCTTATCAACGTGGAGATTTTTCGGATCAATATTGTATATATTATCATAGTTGAACTGGTACGGTGTGTGTTTTGTGGGTTTCTGGAAAAACGGCAACTCTTCAGGCAAAAAAGTGCCCTCGTTGCCAAAATCGTAGCGATGACCGCAATAACATTTACTGTTTTTAACGTATTCCAACACTTTGGTTTGCCACTTCTTTACGCAATCGCAAGGATCAGGTTTCGGTGGTGGCGGTAACGCACGGAAACCACAGTGCACGTTAATGTATTCGCCGTCTAGATATCTGTAACCTCCGTGTATGAGGTCGCCGAGCGGGGGCAGTATGGAAACGCTTCCTAGTACAAAAACTGTTTTCCCTTGTATTTGAAAGACACCGTTTATAACGTATTGTGAATTCCAAAGACCCGTTTTGGGGGCTTTGGGTCGTCGTCTCCGCGTTGACTTCTTTCGCCTAGTGACACTGATACCATAGGTTTTTTTTACTTCAGTGACGCATACTTTTGATCCTCGTATTCTTCGTTGACTGCTACGTGTCACCGTTTTTACGGCGATGTCAGTGGAATACGGTTCGATAGTCATTATGCCAGCAAGTTTTTCACAGTAGGAAATTGGAATTCTCTTTTTAGGGGGTGGGGGTGGCGGAGGTGGCGGTGGTGGTTTTGGTATCGGCGGATCCTCTTCGTAAGGTTCGTTCAACTCGTCTAAATTAGGCAAAGGTGCTGGTTTGACTTTTTTTGGTCGAGGTGGTTCATACAATACTGCGACCATCTTCTGTAAGTACGGGGATGCGAGAGGAGGCTCTGGTTTAGGTTTCGGTTTTGGTGGTGGTGGCTCTTCTGGTTGATCGGGGCTGAATCTTTTTTTGAGCAATTCGATTAAGTTATTTAAACCCAGATATAGTATTGCAGACAGCATGAGTTTAGCATTTAAGTCGTAACAGGCTCGTTTGCCATCAATAGTATGCCCGTAAGTCATAGCAAACAGTTGAGAAAGCATTACCTTAGGGTCATCCCGACCTAGATATAAGCAATTCATTAGATCTACATTATTAGGTCGTGGATTTAAACCTAACCGCCGCATTACTTTTGCTGACCGGACAGGTCTACCTTCCAACAAATCTTGATAAATTGAAAATTTCAGAGTATCTAAGGCTTCTCTTTGCGGTACACTGAGAGCATGGTACCAAATTGGACCAATACTTCTTTTGGCACTGCTAAATACGATTTTGTGAACTTTCTTGCGATACTCTTTCAATTCTTGCATGAACACTTGGCGTTCGCGCATCTTTCCGGAGTATACGATCTGCATACGCCGCAGATCACGTTCTTCGTGACTCGTCTCCGGGCCATAGTTTTGTCCCATAATTTCTGGAATGGGTATGTAAACACTTTATAGTTTTTTAATACCTTAAGAATTAGAAAAGACACAGTATTTTTATTCTGTTCAAACACGCAATTTGGAAAAAAAAGACGTTTTATATGTATTTTGACAACGTAATTGAAATGTCAGATGTTTTTATTCTTTTAGATTTTTTATATAAAATGACCGTTTTATGGCTGTGTTAATACAGAAAAAAGGCTTCTTACAAAAAGTCATTTGTACATAACGGTAACTTATTGTCACCATATCAAAGTTTTTTTTTTATTTAGTGACATAATTATAGTTTTGTACATTTTTCAATAAATATTCCCAGCTTGTCATTATACAATTTGTGTGCTTGTGCTGCCATCTATTGTCGAGTAGCTACGAGGCTTTAAGATATATAAGCATGATATTCCTTTTACAAAGGTATGTCGATCAAAGTATTTTAATTCTTTTTATGTACTACTGTTTAAATAATTTTTATCACAATATTTTATTACTCGCGAAGACTTGCAACATAAATATAGTTTTTATTGCTTTGCATAGAGCAACACTGTACGCGACAGTTTGTTCTACCTTCATACGGTAAATAAAAAATATACTTTATCCCGTGACTTTACCATATACTTTTTATAATGTGCAGAACTTACAAACACCCTCCTATCCTCCAAAGTAAAATAAACTTTAGAATAAAATATTATTCATACGGGTGGTTGTCGAGATATAAGAATGAGTAATGAAAGCATGTCAAGGAACAAGTGAATCCAGACTTTATTGTAAAATAACAACCGCTTTCATTTCCGGATAATCTAGCGTCGTAGAACTTTGTTCATTTAGGTGTTCTCTTAAGAGTGACGTTTATAATTGTTTGCTCCCAAGCTGCACTTTTGACGCCCTGCAAGAGATACTAATGAGATACAAGTTTGCATGTTTAGACAATGCCTAAATATTTATTATAAAGTTTGTTACTCAATTGTGCAAAACATACTGCATGAATTTGGATGACATTTGGTACGCATATAGTTTTTGACCTGGGTTGAGACATAAGATTCTTTTTAATTCGGAAAAGTCATAGGTTCCTGTGGGATTTCTATTCCTATCTATAAGAAAAATATTAGGTTCCTGTGAGATTTCAAAACCTGCCTATAAAGTTAAGGTGGCCTGAAAAGCATAGAAATTTCAGCAGCGTAACGGGGCGGCGTATCAATCATTCGTTGGGATAAGAGTGAACCGACCGATCAGCTGTCGAAACTCGGCCGGTCGTAGACCTAAGGCAAAAGGTGAACGCCTCGTATCACCTGAATTATTCCTCCCCTCATTCATACGCACATGAATCTATCTCAATAGATTAAACGCATGTCTTCCGGGAAACAGAACTCCGATTTGCTAAATCTGCCCTTACAAAGTGCAAAGACGGATTGAATATTCTAAAAGAATAACAAATTTAAATAAAAGAAATACGAATATTTAACTTTTGATTAATACGAGATGCTTAAGACCTTCGTAACTTGAAGTTTTAGGTGTATCTTTTATTTGTTGTAAATATTTTTTGTAATACTATCAGATATAACAGCACTAAAAGTTCAGGCACCTTAGTATTGTTAATAACCGTATGTACCGATGGACAAATTGATTAAACAACTAGTAATCAATTCTATTGTTGGAATTTTTAACAATACGGAATATGTTGAACACAATGTGTGTACCTAAATAGAGTGATTCATATCGGAGTTCAAGCAGTGTCAACGACAAGGCGGTGCGCTCCGAAACCCTGCGCATTCCTTCAAACAGTGATTCATTCACTCAATTAAATCACTAGATCACGCTTAAACGTACTACATTAAAATAAAAGTAGTAGTTACAGTTATATATACGATATTGTTTTACATTGGGTAAGTAAATATTTCAGCACTATTGCCACGAAAGAGTTTTTAAGGTAAATCACACTAATTTTAAAAAGGCGAAAGGTTGTGAGTGTGTATGTTTGTTACTTCTTCACGTCTAAACGGCGTGAGCGATTTTAATAAAATTTGGTATGAAGTTAGCTGTCACACTGGATTAACACATAAGCTACGTTTTCTGCGAGAAAATAGCCCCAATAAACCGCGGGTAACACCACGTGGCACAGCTAGTACTTAATAATATCAAAAATCACATGTTCTAAAACTTTGAGTTTTCTATCACAAATAGATATACTTATCGAACCATTACGTGAGTGCTTTTAGACGCATTTAGTTTTATTTGTTCCTAGTGACCGCCCGCGATTTCGTCCGCGCTTACATTAGTTTTTGAGAATTCCACAGAAACCGAACATTTTTTCGGGATTAAATCCCTGTCCCCGCCATACATCTAGGATCACTTAGGCTCGTATTATAGAAAGATTCTCAGTGATTGATCTAGTCTTGAGAATAGTTAGAAAGGGATGTCACTATATATAGCACATAGCGACATCCCTTTCTAACTGTACTCAAGTAAAGATCAACATTTAGTTGTCATTCTGTAATACGGGCCTTAGTGTTATAAGTTTCAACGGTCTGTAGCAAAAATATATGTTAATGGATGAGCAATAACTTTAAAACACACGATAAAGGTGGTTAATATGCCAACTTCAAAACTGCGTAGGTAAAAATTTGCTCATAGTATCATTTAGTTTTGAGGGTCCGTCCTCAAAACTTAAAATGCTAGGTGGATCGATAGATGTTTCCGGAAGTGTATATGCGTACCAATCATTTCATCTCATCCAAATCCTTTCAGTAGTTTTTACCTGATCGAGTAACAAACATACAAACTTTCACATTCAAAATATTAGTAGGATGTTACTTTTGTTTATGTAAGGTCTAGTTGGACATAAATCACTTTGACTCAGATACTATGTAACTAGCTTAGGAGTGGCAGTTTAGGAGAACTTTTTTTCGTCTGCTGGTGACTCGCTCCAGCTTTGCACGATTGTAAATTTATTTTAACATGTTGTATAAATAAGTACGTAATATAGCCTATCTAGCTTTCCACTGGAACAACTTTCTTGTGACAGAATGTTCAAAATCGGTTCAGTACTTATTTCCAACAAACAAACTCACAAAATTACCTCTTTATAATCTCTTTTTTGAGGAGCTCGATGGCGCAAGTGGATAGCGCGTTCGGCTGCGATCGTTGAAGTTAAGCAACTTTCGCAATGGTCGGTCATTGGATGGCCCAATCTCCCTATTCCATCTATGGGAAAGGCTTATGCCCCAGCTGTGGGGACATTAATAGGCTGATGATGATGAATCTCTTTTAGGTACTTCTATATAACTCTACATTTGGTATATTTACAAGCTCCGTCCTCAAGAGTATGATTTTTAATTACTTGTGACAAACTAAAGCAGAAATATGCATAAAAGTATTAAAAAACGCATTTTAAACCAGTTGAAACAGTGTTTCACTTAAGATATATCTCATGTTATTGTACGCAGTCGTTGGGCGAGCCCCATTGCTTGTATTCGTTTGTGCAGCAACTTTCAAGCATTTGCATCAATTCTAACTAACGTGAGATGCGTATCGGTGCTCGTCGTGGCTGAGACCAGCTGCGCTCAGCTCATGAGCATTCACTTTCCTCGTGCTAGGAAGTAATCGCGCACTTTCACTCTATTCAAGATCAGCGCTCCGCCCTCAACGCGCCGTCCGACCGGCGCCCGCGGCGGTCATTGTCTGCTTATGTGTTAGCAATTTTGTCATTGCCGCCTATTGCGTACACCAATTTTATTAATAAAACATATACAGAAGAACATTTAAATAATTACCAAAGTTTTCGATCTTTTAGCACCCGTGGGTGAATAGGAGACCAGTATTTTGTCACAAGAACACATGAAGACTACAAATTTCAGAAATGAACTAAGTTTTCTAGAAATTTGCTTAGTTCAATAACCTTTAATACTTACAAGAATAATGATTGAACGCAAAGCCAACTTAAAATGCTAAGGTAACGAGTAAAATGCAATTCCAATACACTCCAACGTAAATAGAAGAAAGTTGTAAAATAATGTCGAATGAAAGTCATGGTACGTATTGGATGACCTGTAAGTGCAGCAACGACTTATGCCTTGAAAGTACGCAAATCAAACGTAATGCAATTTTCTTTAATATTGTTTGAAATAAGGAGGAGTATTTTTTTGATTTAAACATCTAGCAGTTTAGTTGACGACCTCCTTGTCCGAGTAGTTTGTACGCCGGGTTTCATGGTGTCGCCTACTCGAGAGGCCCCGGGTTCGGATCCCGGTGGAGGCAGATGTTTGTGTCATAAATACGAGAGTTTTTACCCCAGTTTGTATGGATGTTAAATAAGTATTTATATTTAAATATACTTATATATGTATTCTATCCGTTACCCTAGTATCCCATAACACAATCCTACAGGGCTTACTTTAGGGCTAGGCTAATTGGTGTGAGTATTGGAAATATTTTATTTATATTTATTGCTTAAAAATGCAACAATTATAGTATTCCTGTTCTCGCGGGAGAAGAGGTTCTTACCATTTGCAGCAATTTTGTAGAACCTCGATTTAATGATTTAATCACACTAATATTATAAAGGCGAAAGTTTGTGAGTGTGTGAGTATGTGAGTGTGTATGTTTGTTACTTCTTCACGTCTAAACGGCTGGAGCGATTTTAATAAAATTTGCTAGTGGTTAGCTGACACCCTAGATTCACATATAGGCTACTTTTATTCCGAAAAATTATAGGTTCCAGAGGGGTTTTCAAGAAACTAAGTTAACGAAGACGAAGTCGCGGGGGACCTCTAGTAATACTATAAAAATATATTTAACTACATAGAAAAGAGTGTACGTTTCCCCCTACGGTCACGACGGAATACCCCCGCTGGCAGAAAATGAATTCGATAGTATGCTTCCTCTCGGAAAATTCATAAAAAAAACTTTAAAATCATAAATCCTCGTAGCTGGTCTATGAATAAAGGTAAATAGAACTCCCAGCGAGTTTGTGAGCAACTTCCCGTCATAAAAAATCGTATTCGTTTATTTATAAGAATCATGTTTCGTAACAATTGTAACGTAAGGATTCGAGCACTGGCAAAGCTTCATTGAAAGCTTCGACTTTTATGGGAGCGCTCCTACGTTCGGATTACCATTTCCGATGCAATTCATATTAGCCGAGTGCCCATTGACTTTCAAAAGTGAGACACCTTCAGCTCGGCAGGCCTGCAGTTTCAGCGGCATTTCTCCGTGGGTCGTTGACCGCGCCCTTATCTCAAATGCGCGTGAGCTTGCACGTGTCAGCGCGCGCGCAGTGGTGTGCGCCGACGTGTGTATGCGCGTAAGATGTGCATTATTGGTATTACGCAACCAATATCGATCTTTGTCCCTGGACATTTTCCCCACACACGACAACACTTATTACTTGTGACTTTTCTGTAAACTTCCAAATTCTTTAATGAATGTGACGTTTTTCGACTTTCGTTTCGTTTGAAAAATCATATTAGGCAATCAAGGCCTCAAAATAT